ACTATAACACCTCTTTCTATTTTTACATTTTCAAAGAATTCACTAAGTAGATCTTTCAATGTGGAAAATGGAAATAGTCTGTGCTGCTTTAGCATGCAGCAAAAATAGTGATAATCTAAAACCTCGAGATAAAAAATAACTTTGTAAGATACCACATATATTATTAATACAATCCTGAAAGGCTTCATAAAAGGGTTTAGCATACACGAGATGAAATATCGTATGGAATGTCACTAATCCAAGCAATCCAAACAACGGTTAATATATCATGAATGTCATAATTTAAAAGCTTCTTCACCTAAAGTGAATTATAAAGTCTAGTTGAATTTCTCACAATGAATGAGTACAAGGCATCACGATATCATAAAAGTTCAGTTTATAACTTATTAAATTCGAAACCAAGCAGTGCACTCCAAGTGATCACACTTTACTACTCAGACACACAGACACAGAAGTCATTGAATGATAGGTAGACGGGAATTTCTATGTGAGCCAGACCTCATGTATTTGTCGTAGCAACCCACGACGCTACAATAGTTGTTCCGAAACACTTTCACTACTTGCGTTCAGCAACCATGAGAGGGAGGAATCGGCCACGCATGCCACGAACACGCTTTGTGCATATTTTAATTGGTTCCACGATCATGCCGAAATGTCCGATTGAAAGAGATTTTTCTATGGGACGGCATGTCAAATGAAGTAACACCTCACTCATTTCTAGAAAACAATCACCTATCTAATTGTTATGCCTAATTCCTCGTTGGCTTGAATGCTTTGGCGACCGGCTTAAACAGGGATCCAGGCTCCGTCATACAGGCCTGAGTCAAGTGGATGAATGATTTACACTTTCTCACATGTTCTTCCCCTTGTCCTCTGTCGAAGAGGCCAGAAAAGTCTAGCTATGCACAAAGACACATGGGCATTGTGTGCATTTTTGAAAGTCTCACATGTGCTCATGAGACTGCAATTTGGTATTTTCACATATGCAAAACTGGGTATGAGGGTATGCTAATGAGAGTTGAATGGGCCTATTTTTTAGGACGATTTACGGCCTTTATTCAACTTCCTATTGCTTTACCGGAAAACCGGGCAGTTGAGTGTATCATGCTGGAATAGCTATCATTTCTCCCAGCCCACACCAAGAATGAGTTTCCTATGCCAAAGCACAACAGCCCTAGAAGCCTAGCATAAAGGCTGGACTCTCCAATAATACCCAAGACTGCATGCATCTGCCTGATCGGGTGTAACAACAATCTCCTCATCATGCCTATCAAAACTGAATTCACATACCAGCATCATCTTGCATGCCACATCCTGTGTTTTCAGCCTCTCCAGAACCCCACCTTCATCGTGGGCCCCAATGGGTCCCCTATTGCCCCCTTCATGGATGAGCATTTTTGGCAGATGAGAAAGGGGAAAAGTGGGGACGTTGTCATTTACCTTGACACGGGTTAAGCCAGACATGCCAAGTAAAGAGGGGGGAGGGGGGGTAATTTGAGGAAACGGAACTATCATGTCATGGCTTTGAGGAGCAGATGAATTCTTTGTCAGTTTAGTCGGTCCAAGCATGTGACTCCTTGAGCAAAACTACCCGTCAGCCTGGGTCTGTGTGTTTATATGTATGCTTCTGGGTGTGTGTCTATGCTGAAATGATAACATGAATTAGATGGACCAAAATGTCAGAACTTGATCAAGACTTCTAAGTCTGGTAAGAATGCCAAAACGTGGCAATATGTAGACAGCAATATCTTAAACTAGAAGGGGCACAGAAGTCGATAAAAATTCCGTAGTTGTCTGCACGGAGGGAGGTTTTCGTAGACTTCCAACATTGATTAGAAATAGTTAGCAGATCTCGACGCTATCACTACCAGCTACACTTCAGTTACCAGTCCTCTTATCAGATTAATCGAAATAGGGTGAGTAAATTGTCTATTGGTAGTCTCGAAAGCCTACTTATGAACCACAAAATAAGTGATATATTCGATTACCCTAGCAAATAGAACTGCATCAACAATCCGACCCTATAATGTGATATGGTAAAATTCTTGGTCTTCATGCACTTTCATTTGAAATGAAGGTCCCCCTAACAAGGGAATATTAGCAAATAAACCGCTTCTTAGAATTTATAACCGGGAAAGAAGGTCAACCAGCCCCAGGCTAATCAGTTATGACGCCAATGAAATTGCCCGGTGGTCTGTGATACAAACTCATGGGCCCGAACCTGTACAATCCTCGCATTCCGTGAAGGAATGCGGCCGATTCTGGACGTACTTGTTAGAAAAATGAAGGAGGCCGCCTAGTTTTTAGAATCTAAATCAAGTATCCTATATCTGTGCCGTCAATTTATTAGGAATTTAGAATATTTTTCTTATAACCTGTCTATCAACATGTATGCGTATAAACAAGAATGAAGATGACCATATAAATACAAATATTAGAATATATATATGCATATATACAAGAATATTTTTTCTTATAAGCTATTTCTAAGCAAGTTTGCGTATAAACAGGCATGAGCGGCTTTATGTGGATGATTATATATACGAATGCAGGGAGACAATGGTCAGTCGTATTTGCATGGTGGATGGGACAGGCCTAGTTGAGCTTAGCGTTGCCCACTTCATTGTCGAGAATGTTCGTTTTCGGCCTCCTACTCGTAAGAATGCCGGGGTTTTCAATCGAATTGACGTCTCCTCTCGTAGACTGACGAGCTCATGCCAGAGAAGAGGATGTGAAGTGGAGCGGATAAATCAATTTTGCGGACAGTGGGAAGATGTGGAAAAGTATGACAGTACAAATACCGTTTGCCAAAACCAGATATATACGCTAACCTTGATTGCCCATTTAGCTGGTCTGTACTTATTCCTATTTATATTCAAATGCAATGACCGACTGCATCTTCTGCTCCGGTTTGACCGTTTTCTCGAATTGGAACGCCCACACAGCTTCAGGGGAGGAGAAGTGGGAAAATTCTCCCTCCTA